CTAAGGTTGAGCCTTTCTGGATCTATTAAATTCATATTTAGCTACATGAATTAATGTGTGCATGAATCTATTTCAGGTCTTTTCTGCATATGGTAGGGGGACAGATTTTTTTGTCAAAGCATAGGTTTCATGAGTTTGGCTTTGCAACTCACTTTGGGGCTGTTGGGAAGAATATAACTCATTCATCAATCCTACAGAAATTGCTCCTTATAGTACAACAGTCATACCTGACTTTTGAGATTGTGTGGAAGGTGCACAAAGGGACACTGAAGTTATACAAACCCTATCTGACTTTTGAAATTGTGTGGAAGGTGAATGAAGGGACACTGAAGTTATACAAACCCTAAAGTATCAATTTTCAATACATCACTGAATATTTTTGGAGTCACCATCCCTGGAAGTGTTTCAGAGGTGTCTGGATCTGACACTGGAGGATCTGGTTTAGGGGTTTAAGGTTCCAGCAGTGACAGGTTAATGCTTGGACTGGATGATCTTAGAAGTCTCCTCCAACTTGATCATTCTATGATTCTATGATTTACTTATTAACTCATCAAAAATAGGTAATCCAAAAGCTGATGGTAGTAATCACATTTGTCTGTTGGACAAGAAAACAAGGATAGGAATTTACATCCAAATGCAGATTTAAAACAGGAATCCTCATTTCAAGTAGATGCAAGACTCTTCCTAAGCAGTGAAATAATTCTATTTTTGCATAAATTTTGCTAACACTTCCAGTAATTTGCCATACATTTATTTATTTTGCATGAATAATTTCTTTTGCCTAACTGCCATATTAGCAGTATTCCGTCCTAATTATTAATTGCAGTGTTTATCTAGCAGTCATTTGGAGGAAACACAACATTTTTACAGCTAATGGAAAGCTAACATCCTTGATACATAATACAGTGAGACTGTAAACAGTGATAGTCAATTTTAGAGCATTATTGCTGCTATAATTATGTTCATTTTATTTTGATGAGCAAACTATATTTTAAAATTTTTCTTTCCCTGTTATTGAGCACAGGAGAGAAAAGCTAAAGAAAACAAAACCCCTAACAGAGAACAAATTATTATTTTTAGTATTACAGCACATCAGTATTTCTCATTCATTCACCTAATAGTCAGTGGCTTTGGAGGAGCAGTTTAGTTGTGCTTCCTGCATGATATGTTCAGTGTGTGGAGAGTCAAATATCATGTTGAAAATGCTTTAAAATTTCTTTGTGCATAGTTAGTACATCCAATATTGGTGAGTCTCTCTAGTTATTGCTGAAGATGTTTTCAAATCACAAAGAACACACATGAAGGACACAGGTGTATTATACTCTGAGTTTTGATATCAAACTCTTTATCATTGTATCTAAATGTCTTCCAAAGTATTATCTACTATTTGAGGGTTTTTCCTTTTGTTTTCCACTCCCCTTCCCTAGGGAAAACTAGGCTGAAAAACCCACCATCACACCTTTTTGTGTGCCCTTCCCTACATTACTGCCATTGTTGCCATGCTAGAAAGTCGAGGATTTATCCATTATCCTTGTAGGATGTTCCAAGGTCTTTACATACACAACAGAAAGATCATGTTTCCTGTGCAGTCAAGATTTTCCCATTTTGAGGACATTTCTCCTGTACTTAAGGATCACTGTGTTTATTGCCTGTCAGGGCTTTGAGTGATTTTGTTACCATGCTTGACCTGAAGCATCTATTACTGTGAGGAACTGGAGAGGGGAAACCTTCAATGTTGCATGGTATCGTTTGGGGGGGAAAATGTTTTATAGAGGTCTTTGCTTCTGAGAAAATTGTCCACTGCTCTGTGCAGTAGTTAGAATTTCCTAAAGCTGCTGGCTCTGTGTTGTCTTTGACATTGAGTAGCACCCTAATGCAGTAGCTGTAGTAGCATTTATCTCTTCCAGCTTTAGACATGTACCCTCTTGACCTCTCTATCAGAGCTAGTCAACATAAGCTCCCCTGGACGGGGTTGGCCCTTAATAAACTTCATAGACTACTTACTCAGGGAAAGAACTTCATTTTCTCATTTCACCTGACAAATACCTAGGGCTTTTTTTTTTTCTCCAGTCCATGCTCAAACCACTTTTGCATTTTCCTCTGGAAAATAGACAAGGGAAAAACTTCCTTGGTGGGTACAAAGCCTTGAAAATTAGTTAATCAAAGAATGAATGCTGATGTCCTTGTGGGTTTTAATAAGCTTAGTTTCAGCAGGTAATGACTTGGGTAGAGCCACCTTAAGGAACTGGCCTTGCCTGCTCCTTTATTGCTCCCTGCACAGCCAAGCAGTGCCAGTGCAGTTCCAACAGGAATTTGCTGCTGCTTTTTCCTGAGAGGTGATTAGAAGAAGTGTGACCAAGCATGGTTTGTATTAATGCTTTCTGTCATCATCTCCAGAGCAGGTGAGGCTGTCAGAGCCCAAACATACCATGGCCCTTCCAGGTGTGTGGTAGCACACACATTCCTTGGGCTCTCTGTTCTGTCGTGTCTGTGGCTCCAAGTGCAGAGAGAGGGATTAGGCAAACAAGTCAGTGTGTCTGGAGAGTACCTTGCTGTTGCAGAAGATGCTGCTTGAGCAATTCTCTAAGTAGATACCAAGTGAAGACCTGGTAATTAGCTGATATTTCACATGGAGTAATCTACTTTTTTTTTGTTTTAAATAACCTTTTGGGGTATCATTGCTTTCAATGCATGCAGATCCATTAACAGACATATAGATAGGGTTGGGGTTTTTTAATTGAAAATTAAGATGATATAAGAACTGAAGATTAATAGAGAAAGCACTAGTGAAATTTGTACCATAAAGGATGTGTTTTGGAAGTTTGTTTTTCATTGAAGACACTGTAAGTTCTGGGTGTTTGATGGATGTTGCTATTTCTGTATGTAATTTATAAACTTTTTTCCCCCTGTTGTTCTGTGATATAGTAGAGGTTATTATTTAAAGATTAAATGACAGATTATTAGTGCTTGTATTGTTGCATATGTTTTATTTAGCTGATTAATTACTCCATTCATTAGATGTTGACATATCTTTTTTCTCAAGCCAAAGGAAACAGGAAGCTAGCCTAAAGCTCTCCTTTTGAGCTGTCCTGCTCCTCTTAGATCTTGGTGCTGGCCAGATAATTTCTTTCAATGCTGTGCAATGCATCCCTTTTCTTTACTGCGTTTTTAAACATTATTTACATTAGCCTTTGCACACAGTGAGCTTTTGGTGTGCTGCTCTTGTGTCCATGGCTTTTCCAATCCCAAATTTCTTGACACTGACTGTGCAAACCATTGTAGAAGCTGGGTACATAGCAAATTTGGAATGTAAGCAGAAAGAAGCTTTGATTAAGCAAAACAGAGCGGGTGGAGGATGTTTGTTCTAACGCATCAGGGTTAGGAAACTGGCTGCAGAGAATGGGAGAGTGGTTTCCCAGACATGCTAATGGGAGCAGGGCAGGTGCAGCCAGTGGAGCTCATCGTTCCCTGATGAGCAGAGACCTTTAGTACCACTGACAGGAAGGTCGGAGCACGTTCTCCTGAGCAGTCACATCAAATTTGAGGTTTGCAGAGTGAGATTCCTTCCAGGCACTTCCACGTGGGCTCCTTTCTCCCATCAATGGGCCCTTTTGTTTTCAAAGGTCTCCTATTCGTTTCTTATAATGAGAACAGCTTTTCCTTGATATCTATAATGATTTATTTTTTTCAAAGCAATTAGATTTCTTCAAACTCTAGCGATTCTCTCATTGAAGAGAGTGAATCACTGAATCAAAAATGCAAAGGCTCTGAGTGTGAAAGGCAGGCTCAGTTTCCATTTGATTTCAAGGCAAGCCTGTAGGGCTTGAGGGAAGCAGGGCAGGAGCAGTGCCTGAAATTGGATTGTCTCATCTTGAAACCCATTACAGGAATGGAGCATTCCCAACAGCCATACCTGGAGAGCTTGAGCATCCTTGTCTCAAAAAGCAGCAAGCCTGAGGGGCTTTGCATCACCAGCTTGTAGGACCAGATGCAAATGCAGGTATCCTGTGGCTTGCACACCTGCTGCTAAATATTTAAATGTGTTTGGAGATGACATAAATTTCTCAGTGTTTTGCGAAGAATTTCATGAAGAGTTTTATTGTTTAGGGCACTTCTGTAATTTGAAAATCAGAGTTTTAATGGCCTGTACTTACAGTCACATTTTTTTATGTGATTTATTTTTTCAGTTTTGCTGGCACTTAACTTTAAAATGTTCCCAGACATGTATATTTTTTAATGTTTTATAATACCGTGAAGCTAATGAATGAGGCTTCATTTAGGACCTTCAGAGTGTTTCAATGTGGTGTATGATGACATGAACAAGTCAGGTTAGCAAAGCCTGAAATGAAGAATTTTAAAATGGATGTTTTGTATCTGTGTTTAGGCTTTTACATTAGTGATCACAGCTCATAGCAAACACCTTAAAACTGACAAAATTATGAAAACCAAACACTGACATTAGAGGGACTTTACTAGAACTGACTGTTCTTCTAAGTCCCCATGTAGCCTGTTCATGAGAAGGTATTTATGTTGTTGCAAGTTGCAGTCTCAGACAAAGGCACATCTATAATCAACAACTTCACAGCTTGTTTTTCAGACAGGAATTTGCATGCTGCTTCAAAATACCTCAAATGTTTTTCTTCCACTCACCTATTATTTTTAAAAAATGGGGAAGATGGCAGTATTTACCTATTATGTCATTTATCATTCCATGAACGTGATCATTTTGAGTAGTTGTCAGGGGAGAAAAGGAGGAGCAGGACAAAAGTTACCAATACTAGCTGAATTTTGTAAGAGTTGAAATGCTCCCTTAGTCTAGAGTGATACTTGAATGATTAGACTGATTTATCAAGTGATGCTAAATATTTATATTAAGCATTTGAAAAATAAATTCAACCAAGAGCAGAAAAAGCTATTGACAGGGGGGAAAAAGCATTCTCCTAGTTAGACAAAGTATGGTTGAGTGTTGTGCTTCTCTTTTATTTTGCTCACCAGGATTACACGTTGACTATGTACTTCCAGCAGTACTGGCGAGATAAGAGGTTGGCCTATGCTGGGATCCCTCTCAACCTCACGCTCGATAACCGAGTGGCAGATCAGCTTTGGGTGCCTGACACTTACTTCTTAAATGACAAGAAATCATTCGTGCACGGCGTCACTGTGAAGAACCGAATGATTCGCCTTCACCCGGATGGGACGGTGCTCTACGGCCTCAGGTCGGTGCTCCAGGGGGAGATTTCCTCCCTGCTGTCGGGTGCTGTTGGTGTTTGCTTCCTGGCACAAGGTTATTCCAAACATTGGTCAGTGGGTTACGTAACCTGCCCTGTAATGCTGAGAGATGCCTGTAGAAAACAAATGACACACTCAATGTTTCTTAATTTTGCCAGGAGCGCCTTCAGTCAGGTTTTATCTGGTTCTGTAGAGTCACCATATCTGCAAAGCCCACTGGCTCTACGAAGCAGAAAGGCACGTTATTAATTGTAAACCTGAATATTTTTGTCCAGGCAGTAGGATTGAGTGGAGGTGCTTATGTTGTCTCTGGATGTGTCTGTAGTGGATAAAGAAAAAGCTACAAGGCAGCCCTGGTTGAGTGGGATCAGCCATGACTATGGGTACCTTCCATGGTTTCTTCAAGCAGGAATCAGCACTGCAATGTGTTGTATTTCAAACCAGAGGTACAAAGTGACCTACATTATCTTCCTTTCTACCTATTTCAGGCTTGACCTGTGTTCAGTTTGTTTTCTGTCATAACTTTTATGGTTAGGAATGCCAAAATTGGAAGGCTCAGTGGTATCAAAAAATTGCTTTCTTTTAGCTGGATACTCCTTTTCCTCCAGTGGTTTAAACCAGCCAAACAAGTCCTTGCCATTGAAAGCTCCATTCCCATCATTGGAAGTTTCTTGTATATTTAAGCAGAGATAATACTCAAGATTGTTGCACATAGGTAGTGCAGGAAAAGGAGTCCCTAGTATAAAAATGAGTGAGCCCTGAAAAGTGGTGAAGATCAATTATATGTCTCGTCTCATTGTTTTACCTGCTTCTGGTTTTTATCAACAGTGAACTTTTTATCTGACTTGGGTCTTGGCTGCTCACCTTGGATGATTTTTTCTAGGGAAAATAGAAATAGACTCAGCCTACTATGAAAGTTTAAAGGAGTTTAGGATGTTGTCTCTGTAATTAACTGGTTTTAGCAAAAGGAGGCTTTCCTCTAGCATGGTATTGACCCAGTTTGGAGCAGTACAGGTTTAGCATTCTTTCCACAAGGGGTTAAGTGTAAAAAAAGATGCAAGATTTATTTGTTTTCTTCATCTCAAGAAACATACCCACAAGCAGTGTAATAAAAAAGTAATGGAGATTACAAGTCTTGTGATCCTAATAATGTGGAGAAGTGTCTTATCATGCTCTAATAACATTTGGAGTCATTCAGGTGAGCATTAGCTGTCATAAAATAGTGTATTTGAATAAGTTACCTTCCTCTTCTGCTAAACAGAAGTGTCCACAGGCAGATTGCATTTCACATCATAGTGTTTGCTCAGCAGGGTTTTCACCCGTGGCTCATGTGTGGCACATTTCATTCCTTTTCTCTGAAAGCATGTGATATCCAGGGTCACACCTCCATGCTGTGAAGCAGGTGAATTCTGTAGTGAAGAATGACTATCTCAGATTAAATCTTGGCAAAATATAAGACATCATGATCAGAAGGAAGAAAATACCTGAGCCTTAGCTCCACTGATTTAAAGACTTGTGGTTTGTGTTGGTCTACCACTACCCTGTGTTCTCATGTTGTGGCTTCAGAGCATCCCAATGGCATTGGGCTCAAGCTGCAGTCCAGAAGCAGTCTGGGTTGAGGCTAGAACTTGGAGTTTTATGTGCCACAAAGCACAGGGTCACTCAAAATAATAGGGAAAATTTTGGAGAGTTGCAACCAATTACAGGACATGCACAGAGCAAAGCTGTTCCTCAACACATATATAATTGAAAGTGATCCCAAGGCCACACTGGCTCTGCGTTCCCTTCTGAACAATGTAGAATTTATCATAGTTTTGAAAGATCTGACCTTCAATTATCCAAGGTTCCTCTTTAGTTTAGAGAAAGCACTTTGCTACTGCAGCAGAAATCTATGAGAGTGGGGGAATGGGACAGTAGATTTTTGAACTTCAGACCATTTCTGGAGAATCTTCTTCTTTGGGCAGCACAGTGAATTTTTTTCTACCTTCTGCAGAACAATATACAAGACAAATGGCAATAAAACAGCTTTTTTTTTCATGATAGAGCAAAAAAGAAATAATTACATGATAGTCTGAGGATAGAAAATAGAGTCCAATTGCATGTGTGTTTGCCATATATAAACCTCTCATTCTCAGGCAGTAGAATGCTAAATGTTATAAGTAAATGGAGTGGAGGAATATATGTATTTTATTTGAAAGGACTCACATAATATCACCTGTGTATAAAACATGATGAATGTTTGCAGGGTGAAAAGGTTAGTTGTGATTGGTCAGACAAAGCAGCCACATTTAGCTCTGGGTTTTTTTTGGGTGAATATATTTCTGTGTCAAGATGAAAAGAGGATCAGATTAGCCAGCATGACTGTGAGCTAGTCACATAAGAAGTATTTATATTGCTTAGGCTGTAATATTGTAAACGTTTGGGGGATATAAAATATCCTTCTGTCAGTTGTGTGTGGTACCTCCCAGCACATCATAGCTGGGGTTCCTATACAGTAGAGCAGTATCATCAAAGGCAATCAGCCCAGAAATAAAGTGCCAGAGAAGGATAAGAGAATCTCTATCCAGAGGAAAGAAAACCAGAGTAGGAAATTTGAAACAATTAAAAATCTTTCCTTTGTATACTCTGTTTGCCCAAAATGTGTCTGGGTACCACTTTGGCTCCTAATTGTTTCTTTGTCACTGCTGTGATGACAGGGTCTTGAAACCTTGTTGTCCTGTTGTGTCAGGCAGCATCCCATACCATAAAAAATAAACCTGCTTTTCTTGGGAGCATGCACAAGCCCCAGCAATTAACATTTGCTTTTGGTGTGCGTTTGTGCAAGTTAAATTTGGTTGCTTGAATGTTCATTCAGGAGGGACGTCTGAGCACTCAACTTCCTTGGAGTAAATGAGGTGAATCTGTTTCAATCTGTTTTCAGCTGTATCTTCTTTTCTAGTGGATTTGATTAAATTAAAAACATACATTTTGCTGTAGTGTAAAAAGTTACTTGAGCAAGAATGTGCAGTTTCTGGTGCTGGAACTTGTGACACAAAACCACTACAGTATGTGAACAGAAAAAAATTAAAAATACATTCCCGAAAAAGTCATAATGCAATCCATAAGTTGAATGTGAGTTTGCCAGCTGTATAATTTTCTATTAATTAATAAATAATTAAATTAATAAATGAGTCATTTGTAAGTGCCTGTGTTCTGTATGGCTGGCATTTAAAGCTAGTTATACCACATGATACTTGTGATCCTGGGACCACATTCCCACTTGTCTCAGCTCATGTGGATTCTGCTGCAGGATCCTAAATGAGACCTAGGTCAGTGTAGGCAAATGTACTGAAGTGTGAGATAGAACCCTCAGATTGGCAATTCCCAAGCTTGTTTTACTTTGAGCACAGTTATCAGTTGACTCACTGTGTTTCATTGCACACTCAGCCTGGCTTTGTGAAGCTGATCACTGCTGAGACCTTGTTGATTAATAATCACAGATTTAAAGAATAAGTTTTCTTCTCTAAGATCCTAACCTAGTCCTAGTTCTGTATGTTTAGCTCGTAGTTATCATACTGAGGAGACATTCATAAAATCATGGAAAGCTTTGTGTTGGAAAGGAGCTTAAAGATCATCTCATTCCAACCCTCCTGCCCTGGGCAGGGACACCTTCAGCAAGACCAGGTCGTTCACAGCCCCATCTATCCTGGTCTTTAACACTTCCAGGGACAACTGGAACTGTTTAACAGTTCCAACTGTTGTTGTGGACAACATCCACAAGTACTCTGGGCAACCTGTTCCAGTGCCTCACCACCCTCAGAGGGAATAATTTCTTCCTAATATCCAACCCTTTGCCAGTTTGAAGCCATTCCCCCTTGTCCTATCATTACATGCCCTTGTAAAAAGTCTCTCTCCAGCTCTCTTGTAGCCCCTCTTTTGGTACTGGAAACTTGCTCTCAGGTCTTCCTGGGGCCTTCTCTTCTGCAGGTTAGACAACTCTGATGGTTTATCATCTCCATAGTTTGTAGCCCTGTGTCTAGCACCTTGACTGAGGTACCAGCAGGGCATTTGTGAATAGTTGCAGGGAAGACATCCCCCTAAACTGCAGAGCAGCTGAGGAACTCCTGTTTGTAAACTGCTCCAGCCCAGGGGGATGTTTGTTAACAGAGGAACCAGAGCAACTCCCAGACAGCAGCTGGAGGAAGGTTAGCCTAGGTATCCTCTTGTGATACAACACTTAGCACCTGAAATCCTCTGGGACTAACATAAGGGTGTTCAGGGGACAGAGAGAGGGATCAGGGGTGACAGAGATATGCTCATGCCATGGATAAGGCTGGAAAGGACCAAAATCAGCTGTATGCCTTTCTCACTGGCTGCTGGGAGGAACACAAATGAGAAGATACACTGAGCAACAGATCCTTGAGCTTTTTCCACTCCTATCTTATCCATTGCCTTTGTGCTCATACAACTGTCTCTGCCTGTAATTTCTCTGCAGAAATTCGTTTCTTCTTGAAAAGCACCTTCTCAGTCAGAGAAGGGTGATCTCTGCTGTCCTGTGAGATGGTTATAATGGTCCTAATCCCTTTCTGTAGATATTGTGTGGTTATTCACCTGAACTAATCTATATGCTAAGGATAAGCATTCTGCCTCTTCTGGGAGATTGGATAGGACATTCAGAATAACAACATGTGTCCAGGAGGGTTAGTGTGAAGGTGAAGAAAGGCACCTAACTACTTTTCTCCTCTTGAACCCCCCTGAATTTTAAAATAGTTTACCAGATTAGAAGACTGTAATTTGAGAAGGTTAAGGGATAGAAGAAAGAGCTTCAAAAGAGAGAAAACACATGGACAAAAATTTAATATTGAGGATTATAGCTTTTAGAGGTACATTTCAGGTATTTTCCCCTCTTGTATTATTCACATAAATTATCAACAGAATATTATCTGTTTAGGAACAAACTGTGTGCAAAGTCCATATCTTGTTTATATCAGAAAAGGATCAGTAAGGAATGGACCTAGTCAGGCTCAGAAGATAATTTAAATCTGAAATTTATATGAAGCCATTATAAAGACAATGATGCATAATAACGTACACACTCTTGATGAAGGCTCTGAGTCAGCAGAACACTGAAATATGCTGCAGATTAATCATGAGGATATTGTTATATCTGTCTAAAAGTTAGTACAAATGCATAAATCCATTAATTTAAAAATAAAGTGCCAGTGCTGTGTGAAGCTGCTAATACAATTGTTCTGGGTGTGCATCTGTATTGTTGATGCTCCTGATAGACAAGAGGCTGATGAAAAACACTGATTCATCAATAGTGAAATGTTTTACAAAGTCATCCTTAGGGCCCTAAATTGCTAAATAGTCAAAGAAGTAAAAATGTGTTTCTATTTGAGTAGAAAATTTAAAATTCAATACAGAGGTTCCTAACAAAATCCTCTTTAAATCTGAAAACTAGAGAAGTATACTCAACTGAAACAAAGTGTTTTCCTGGGCTTAAAGGTTTTTTTCAGCATTTTTGTAATTTTTTCTGGAGCAAACCCAAGAAATCAGTTACTCACACAGCTCTAATCCTTTTGACATTTGTAGCAGACTTTTTTCACTTCATGTTTTCTGTGATAAAGCCATATCTCTTCATCTCAGCAAATGTCTGTGCAGTATTTGCATATGTGGCTAGGTCCACTAAACCCCAAAGGGACTGGTTGCATAAGGCTAAGTCACAGCGAGTTATTCCACTCAAGTCAGTGTAACTGCTGTTGGATTAAACTCCTGCTCAATGGAAAAATATGGACCAGATTCTCAGTTATTTTAAGCTATTCTTCAGCAATTCCTCACTTTGAAAAATGAGCAACATCATCACCAAAACCTGCATTACTGGCTGTACAGTAAAAGTCTTTGATGTTTCTATTTCAGAATCACAACCACTGCAGCTTGTATGATGGACTTGAGAAGATACCCATTAGATGAACAAAACTGTACTCTGGAAATAGAAAGCTGTACGTACCTAAGGAAATGTGTGTCAAACCTGGTTCGGGTGCAGGACGATTTTCCTTTTATAGAACTGTGTAATATTTGCACAGGTGTCTATAAACACTATGTGAATCATGTAATTATCACCCTTTGCATTTGTTTATTTGACTTATTAAAAAATAATAGGAGTCATCCATTTGTAGATAGATGAATACATCCTAGGGAAACAAATTTAGGACAGAATGGAGTCATTTGGTTCTCCTGCCTGACTTGGCTAGGCAGTGACTGGATGCTTATCTTCCACATGAGAGATGAATATTTGTATTTTAATCAGATTCATTTTCAAGAGGGCAAACACTGAGCTATCATTCTCTTTCAGTATGCTTCATTATGCATGGATGGTTTTGCTGCAGGACCCCCCCTGGGCTTTCAGACTGACCCCATTTATGATTTGCAATTGTGTTCCAAAAGGAACTATATTCTTGTTTTCACCTTGTCATGTCCTAGGATTTCAGTGTTCAGATGTATATTTGCAGTTCAGGAGTTCCTGCTCAATATCTGCTACTGACTGGAGGTTGTGGATTGTATACAGAAAATACACTAGCATATATTCTGTATATATAGTATATATTCTGTAGTCAGCTGTAATCCTTCACTACAGAAGCTAATGGAAATGGTGCAACTCACACTGGATAGTATGAGTGGAAAAGGTCTGCTCCAATGGTTTCTCTGTATTCTCACCTTCTTCTGGTGACTATCAGTGTAAATATACACTTAGTTTCAGTGCTAAATGTGTATAATATCTTAAATCATGCTAATCTGCAATTTTGCTGATTACTGGTAGCATTTTCTTCTCCTTCTGGCCATTAGTCCCTATGTGAATATTATGTGAGTGATAAAAAACCCCAAACAGCCAAATGCAAAAAAAACCCCAGAGTATTTTACCAAAAAATCCTGGGCAGGCTGTAATGGCACAGTTATTGGGGAGACCTTTCCACAGGGAAAATCCCATACAGCTCTTCAGGTGTTCTGATTCTTTCGTTGTCTCAAAGGAGGAGCTGCATGTTTGAAGCTCTGTTTGAGTCTGGTGTTATTTCTGAATTCCTCTCCTGCTTTGACTGCAGATGGCTACACAACTGATGACATAGAGTTCTACTGGAGAGGTGGAGATAACGCAGTCACTGGAGTGGAGAGGATTGAACTTCCTCAGTTCTCCATTGTGGAATACAGACTGGTGTCAAAGAATGTTGTCTTTGCCACAGGCAAGTACTGTCCTTTGCCTGTTTAGTGGTTCATTTCCTTGTGTATGACAATTGCTGTTTTATTAATTATAATTAATCATTATTACCGGTCATTATATGTAGTCTGTGTTGCATATTTTGCTAAAGAAATTGCTGGAAAAGGCCTGGAGGTAGGAGCCCATGGAATGTCATTTGTGACCTGCATTGAACTCTGCATTCTTGGGAGGCCACACCTTGAGTACTGTGCTCAGCTCAGGAGGGACATTGAGGTGCTGGAGCAGGTCCAGAGCAGAGCAACGAGGCTGGGGAAGGGACTGGAGCACAAGTGGCATGAGGAGAGGCTGAGGGAGCTGGGGGTGTTCAGCCTGGAGAAGAGGAGGCTCAGGGGAGACCTTCTCACCCTCTGCAACTCCCTGACAGGAGGTTGGAGTCAGGTGGGGGTTGGTCTCTGCTCCCAGGCAACAGCAGCAGGACAAGAGGGCACAGACTCAAGCTCTGCCAGGGGAGGGTTAGGTTGGAGATTAGGAAGAGATTTTTTCCAGAGAGAGTGCTCAGGCATTGGAATGTGCTGCCCAGGGAGGTGGTGGATTCCCCATCCCTGGAGGTGAGACTGGATGTTGCACTTAGTGCCATGGTCTGGTAACCACAGTAGGGTTGGACTTTTTGATCTTTGAGGTCTCTTCCAACCTGGTTGATTCTATGATTCTGTGATTCAGCTCTGGAGTCCCCAACATAAGGACATAGACATGTTGGAGTGAGTCCAGAGGAGGAGCACAGAGAGGATTGGAGAGCTGGAGCACCTCTCCAGTAAAGACAGACAGAGAGAGTTGGGGTTGTTCATCCTGAAGAAGAGAACCTTACAGCAGCCTTCCAGTACCTGAAGAGGCTGACAGGAGAGCTGGAGAGGGACTTTTTGCAGGAGCATGTCATGATGCAACAAGGGGGAATGGCTTCAAACTGAAAGAGAGCAGGTTTAGATTAGATATAGGAAAAAGTTCTTTACCATGACAGTGGTGAGACACTGGGTTGCCCAGAGAAGTTGGGGATGGTCCATCCCTGGCAATGTTCAAGGCCAGGTTGGATGGAGCTTTGAGCAACCTGATCTAGTGGAAGGTGTCCCTGCCCCTGGCAAGGGGGTTAGAACTAGATGATCTTTAAAGCCCCTTCTCACTCAAACCAGTCTGTGATTATATGATTTCTTGTTTGTTTTTCTTTTTCTTGTGTGTATGTGATACTTAACTAGACACCTAAATCTGATCTAAATAAATACAAAGTCATTGAAGTCTGAATCATGAGTTTAAATGTAGCCTACAGGGTTACTGATCATACATAAACATGTTTTGGCAAACTAGGTAAAAAAGCCACCAATTTTGTAAACACCTCCCTGCACCTTTTCAATGCATGTTTGTTTTGTTGTTGGATAGTGAATCTAATGCCTTTCATATCTTGATTTGCACTGATGGGTATATAGCACTGTATATATAGCCACTACTTTTGTTGTGGTTGTTAAGATGTTAAAATTAAATCCTTGCATTTCCTGCTCGTTTCCTTGAAGATGTAATCAAAGTTACTAGTAAATTACAGCATTGGATGTCTTTGGGTGACAAAGTAAAATGCTGATTTACCTATCTGATGTTAGACACCAGTGGAGGAAAATCTCATTATGTGTGACAAGACCAAAGCAACCCAGAAATCCATCAGCATGTGTGGGGCCATTATTTGGGACCTTCAGGTTTTCAGTGCCCTTCAGACCACAGGAGTGTGCTGTTCCATCTGTCCCAGCACACTAGAACAAATGAAGCACAGCTCAATCATGTTTGTAAGCATCACTTCACCCACTCTTTGGACACAGCATCTGTTTCAAAGTACACAGAAACACAAGTTGTATTTCAGAACAAAATGTAAATATTGCTGAGATTCAAATTGGTATGAGGGGGTTTGCCAACTGCTGCTGTTCTTGTTTATCATTGTGAATGAAAGGGGTTTTTTTTTTCTATAGAGAATCAGATACTTTACTCCTATGTAAAGGAGTATTCTGCAGCTAGTGTCACCTTTGGCAGCCAGGGCTTACCTGCCCCTCCACAGCACTGGAGATGCTTTTTTGGACAACAGTGAGAATACAGAGAATTTCTTTATGAAGATTTTATGAAAGTCCAAGGCCACCTCTTAGTTCAGTATGAAATATTTCAATAAATGCAAGATTTAGTGATTTAGAGATGAGACAGATTTGTTAAATTCAGGAAAATGAGAAATCCAAAAGGATATGTGAATAGTATGAGAGACAGTGAAAACTAAGAGCACACGTTTCTGTGACTGACCAAGTTATCAGAATCTTAACAGTTCTTTCCAAAAAACTTGTGTAAGGAGTGAAAAAATCTCGTGCTTCAGGGTGTAAGACTACTTGGCATTAGGGAGTAGGATAGCACAGTCACAGAGAACAGATTACTCCTTGTTTCTTGTACCATTCTCTGAAATACACAATTTTTGTTACTGATGAAGACACAATGCTGAATTTCCTATTACTTTGGTACAGGGCATTATGAAAATGCTTGATCAGTTATGAAATATTGTGACAAGTATTTCCATGCAGGGGAAATATCACATTTGTTTCTCAAAACCACATGTTTAAATCTAAACCTGAAGCATGTGAGTGAATCAGGTGAGTGAAATCAGCAGAGTCCTTTCAAGTTTCTTCTCCAGACTTTCTTATGGTCCTAATAATTAGGACCAGTTTCTACATTTTTGTGGAAATAAGCCAGGCATGCTTTTGGCTTTGAGGTTATTGAAGTCTCAAGGGAAGATATTAGTTCTTTGAATGCAGTATCTCAGTGAACATTTCAGTGATTTCAGTCCTGGTGTGCTTTGATTAAATAAAACTAAAAGAAGACTTCAGAGTCATGCCATAAACAGCTTTTGGATTAGTTATTTTTCCATGAGAAACAGTGCAGTATAATCTTGTGTAACTTATGCAAAGGGAAAAATCTGTTCCCATAGTTACTACTGGGAAGCAAAGATAAGCACAGGAAAACCCCCATAGATAATGGCAAAAAGCTGTGCAGGAATACTGGAGGAACTGGATGCATGGTGAAGTATAGCACAGGAGTTAAAACTTAGCTTGGCAGATGAGCAAAATTCATCTGAAAAAGAGTGCAAAATTCAGTATGGACAAGTGTAAGATACAGCACCTATGCAACTAATGATTCCTATCAAATTCAAGATAGGGAATGCCACATGAGGTCAGGGCTCTGTGTGTAGACATCTAGGAGTTGCTGTTGATCTCACACTGAACATGACCCAATATCTTTTTTGGGAAAAGAAAAACAACAAAAACGAGGCACATGATAATAAGGAGTCTGATTTACATCGTTTATCCTTGAGCTAAGTATTCATGGTCAAGGGTAGTGCTCATCATGACAGTTCACAGAATCACAGAATATTCAAAGTTGGCAGGGACACACAAGGATCATTGGGTGTCCACCCCCTGACCCTGCACAGGACATCCCTGAGAACCACAGCCTGTGCCTGAGGACACTGTCCAAGTGCTCCTTGAACTCTGTCAGGAATGGTGCTGTGACCACATCCCTGAGGTCACCACATTCCAGTGTCCAGAGATCCTCTGGGTAAAGAACCTTTTCCTGATCTCTAACCTAAACCTCCCCTGACACAACTTCAGGACATTCCCTCAGGTTGCCAGAGAGAAAAGATAAGTGCCTTCCCCTCCATCTCTCCTCATGAGGAAGTTGTGTCCTGTAATGAGACCTTTCCTCAGTCTCCTCCAGCTGAACAGACCAAGTGACCTCAGCCACTCCTCCTGTGGCTTCCCCTCAAGGCCCTTCACCATCTTCATACCCTCCTTTGGGTGCTATCCAGTATGTTAATATCTTATATTGTGGAGCCCAAAACTGCACATAGGACTTGAGGTTAGGCCACAGCAGTGTAAAGTAGAGCAGGACAATCACTCCCTCAGCCAACTGGTGATGCTGTGCCTGGTGCCCCCAGGGCATGGTTGGCCCTCCTGGCTACCAGGGCACACTGTTGGCTCATACTCAACTTGTCATCACCCAGGACCCCCAAGTCCCTTTCCACAGCACTGCTTTGCAGCATCTCATTCTCCATTCTGTGCATCCATCCAGGGTTCCCCCATCCCAAGTGCAGAATCTGGCACTTGCCTTTATTAAACTTCATGTGTTATGGTTACTCTCATAGTTATGAAGCCATAGAAAAGGGTGTAGGGTAAAGTAGTAAGTGTGAATGAAAGTCTAAAAAATTACTTACCTGAGATTAGTGGAGAAACAGGTATGATGGTGTAATTTTTAAATAAAAGAACACTTGGTTGGAAACTAATAAAATCTTCAAGTGTCTAGAAGATATCTACAAAGCCATGCCCAATAACCTGTTCCCTTTATTCATGATGGAGAGAAAGTAGTGTCTAAATTGCTCCAAAGAAGAAATATCTGGTTTGACTACCCTTCTAACACCAGCTGAAGGCCATAGAGGATACCACAGGATATCTAAAATGGCACTGCATGCCCATGTGTCAGTAACTGAATTAAGCCCATAGTCAAATGATATCAAATCAATGGAGCCTAAAGAGCTGTTCAGCTCTGGAACCAACTCTATTCTGTCCAGTGAATACTCTTAAGACAGTATTCAGTTGCCTAAACATAGGTACCTGTTGCTTCCTGAGGTGCTGTAGAACATCCTGCTTAGCCATTGGGTGCTGTTCTGGAGTCTTACAGTCTTCTGCCTTACGTGGCAATCTAGTGCTTCAATATTGATCACTTAACTAGTGTTAAGTTCTACTTTTCTTTAGCCTATCACATCTCAAATGGCATTAGACACCTCTGTAGAGGCAATTAGCTCACACCCCTAGAATCAGCTGGCTGTCAGTCTAGATCTTCATGCCTTACACTGAGAGCTCATGTCCCATCCATGTGCCAGTATGTGCACTCAAACACCAGCAATGTAGTGCTAAACCTGTGAGCTGGGTTGGCCTCCTAAATGCTTCTTCCCCAGAAATGCTAAGAAATTGAACAGCAATGGGGATATGTAAAACACCACCTAAAAGCTTCAAGCTGCATAGCAGCCAAAGCTATATTAGCAACCTGTTGGTAAGACAAGTGTAGTCTTAAAAGATTTGTAAATGAAATACTTGCTGTATTTTGAAAGATCAGTCTGTAAAGTACATTTCCAATTAACTGAAGAACCTTCCCAGAAGAACACATTAAACTAAGAATTCTGTAACTGACCAACTCTGTTATCTTGTTTCATACTTGGATAAAACACCAAGAGATTAATTTAGCCTTGAAGCCAGATATTTCAGCTTGCTAGCTGTTAATGAAATTGAAACAGGAATGAGTAATCTTTTTTTACCAAGTGCCCAAATATGTGAAAGAGGAATATTTAGGGCTCAGTTATTGATTATTTGTTTTCATGCCTGCACTCTTGATGTTGTTAGATTTAAATGCCTCCAGCCAAATTCTGTTATTCCTGTACTATTGAAATTAGCTTGCAGACATCAACATGCTAGATGAGATACGAGAAAGGATAAAAAGGCTAAACAAGGTAACAAGGAAAAAAGCCCTAAATTTTGATGGAGAGTTAACAACTAGAATTTCCTGGTAATTAAGCACTAAACATACTGAGCCTTAATTGACAAATCATTATCCAACTATAATCAGGCAAGTAACAATGTAATTGTTGAGCTCACCAAAAAAAAATCAATATTTATGAAATAAATTGCACAAAATGGGTCCTTCTTAAATAAATGAAGATCTGGATTACAATCATTGCTCCACACAGGTTAGGACCCAGCCTTTTCACTGAGCCTCAGCCAGCCAGACAAAGAGAGGGAATTAACTAGGGGAAATAAGGAATGGTCCTTCTTTCAATTCTTTTTTTTCACAGAGTCCTGTGGCCTGTTTGCTGGAGGTGAGATATGTAGCAGGGCTGGCAGGCTGGAGGCAGGGCCAACAGGTTATCTGTGAAGATATAAAAGCAGTACAGGTGAAAGTAATACAAACTTTTGTAGTCTCAAGGAGGGCCACCTAAAGCAGAACCCTGGCTGCAGAGTATGAAAAAACCCAGGCTAACAGTTAATGTTTCAATTTCAACCTGAACTAGACAAAGATTGTGCTATACTATATAAGATTGTATAGTATAAGAATATGCTATACTATACAACCTGCACTATACAAATCTTCCCTACCCTTGGCAAAGGAGTTGGGACTAGAGGATCTTTAAGGTCCCTTCCAACCCTAAGTATTCTATGATTCTATGATATGATTCTGTAAGATCAAATTATTCTGAAATTTTCTGAGATCTGGACCTGCCAGTAAAATCTGAGCTTGGAAAATCACCACAAACCAGGATGACATACTATTTACCCCTGTGAGACTGAACAATGTGTCAATTCCAGTAAGCAGCTGCAATGCCAAGCAAGACCTTTGGTTAGATTGCCCAGGAACCTCAGACCATCAAAATCTACCCTAAGACTTGCAGGGCTCATATTCATCTTGCTGTAATTTATGGTGAATATAATGTCAGTGTCTACATTTGAACTGTCTTAGCTGATTGGAATCTAGTCCATACAGTCAGTCTGGAGATAAATTCAGTACACCCATAGGAGTACATTTTAGGAGGCGATGGAGAGTTCTCTGTGTTTCATTTGCTAGATTGCTTGGATGAGTTGGAGCTTAGACACCAAACTTATGTATATGCAGTTCAAGTGAGTCACTTAATCAACTGCTATTCAAGAGGGCACAGGGCAATCTTCTCAGTCTGCAACTGCTGATCAGAAAGATGTAGGGGATGTGTTATGTCCAGCAGCTGCCTGCTGGTGTCTGGGATGTCATAGGGCATCTCAGAAGGATCAGTGCACCATCAGATTCACAACTGAATCTCTCTACAGCTGTGCAGTTCCAACTCTAGGGCAGGAAGACAAAAAGCACAGACAGCCCTGGCCCTAAGTATGGCTCTTAGGGTTCTAGCTTCAGGACAAAGAACCTGATGCTTGAAGCATCTTTTTGTTGATGTCTCTGGCCTTGAGATCAGCTGTCTGAGAGGTGCACCTTTAAGGCAAGGTTTCACTACTTTCAGTAATTACCTCACCTAATTAGATGGAGACTGTGATGAGGGAATGGATGATCATCATGGGTGAAGCATTCAAGATAATGGCTAAAGTTCACTCTGTTATACTTTTTCTCAGTTTGGGATGTCATTACTGAACATTACTGATATATGTGACACATTACTTCTCTCCACTGTTGATACATGCCTCCTTCACCTCCACCATTTCTGTGCTTTATCAACAGCAAAGTGCTCTCTTCTTTCTCTGAACTTCCCCAAATGCATCCAGTGTCCTTGGCACTGGAGCAACCAAGAAACGGCTTTGATTCAGTGATTCAGTTCTACTGAACTTTCTTGAATAAATCCTTCACACTATTTAATCAAAGATTTTTATCATTATTTTATGGGAGATTTTTCATTCATCATCTCTACCAATTATGTTCCACAGATATCCAGACCTAGACAGGACTTTTGGGAAGTTTAATAGAGATTTATAGAGAATCCTTTGTGCAGGTGGTGTATTATATGAAATAATTTCTCTCAACAGATCTTTATCAAGATTTCTGTCTGATGGTCTACTCTTATTGCAGAAAGGTGATCAGGTCTGCTGCATTTTTAACATATTTCATGCTAGCAGGACATGCTCCTGTTTTATTTACATAGTCTGCAGACACATGGCCATCAAAACCTTTTCCTAAGAAGCTTAATGGAAAGGTTAAGCTTTGTTAGCAAAGGAAGCAGCTCTGGTTTCAATGAGAGAACATGTCTTTTGAAATGAAACATTGTTCATTGTAGAATGAAGATATTAGGCAAGCTACAGTATAAATGATTCTTTGCTGAAAATTGTGTTGACTGCTTTAGACAGCAGAAAGGCTTGGTCTGATTTTCAGGAAGAAATACATCCTTCTGACTCCACCAATATTTTTCTATTGGTGAAACTAGGAGACATTTCATCCTGGAAAAAATTACTACTGATTGAAGTAATCACAGCAACCAAATACATCTACCAGATCTTGCTTTTCCCAGCGATAGCTCTTCTGAGGTTGTTTGATAAAACAGTTAAGGATATTTGCAAATGTTTGACACTCCCTTGATGTTCCTGCTGCCTGGAAATGGTGTAGCATTTCTTCTGGTGTATGACTCAAAGTATACCAAACTTAGCAGGAATATGATGAAGAGAAATCTAAAGTTTTCTATTCCTTCTTTCACTTTCTCCCAGGAAATCCATCATTCGTGTGTATATGGGCAAATATAATTTCTTAAGATCATACGCAAACGTGAACATAATTTAAAGGGAAGTTTGTAATATTTTATTTGTCTCTCGATGTAATCTTTCTTTTCTTGCACATATTTGCATTAGAATGAGTGGGAAGTGATCTAATATCTAGTTGGCTTCTCAGTAAATACTGAAATGTTCTTTAGGATGTTGACTAAGTAGAGCTTTTAGATGAGCTGTTGGAAGTATCATATCTAAGGCTGGTAGCACTAAAACTGAAATTATGGAGCTAATATGCAAATGAGCACCTTTTTCTTAGACAGCTTTACTCAGATTCAATCGTCTTTGCATCGTGAAAGAAGTCACAATTTTTTTAACTGTTTGAGATTTGTAAATGTATCAAATGTATCGAGCAGGATTAACACCAATTTTAAAATACACCAATTTGAAGTTAAGTAATAAAATATTTTGTTTGAAATATCGACATTATTTTTATTTTAATTATTTGTTTGCTCCATTTGTATCAGTTCATGAATCCTATATATGTATACACACATAAAAATTCAACTTTTTTTTTCTGAAAATATTTTTGGAAGAAATATTCTGTCTGGCTGTAATTAATGTTAGATCTGAAGGCTTTTCCTCCCTGGGATTCATTACACTTTGACACCACAGGTAGCATGTTTCTCATAGTTTAGATCTAATGAAGAAGTTGCAGCTCATGAACAGCTCTTCATTGCAAATAAAAAACTATGCACTACTAATCCTCACAATAGAAATGCTGTACAGAAAACTGTGTATTTGGATAAGCATTTTACTTGTAGACCCAAGCATTTGCTTTTAAAAACTAACCACTGCTCACCCATCTGTTCAGTAATCCAAAGCAACTTTCTCTCTTTTCTTCCCAAATACAAATTGCTTGGATATCACTATTTTCACTGCAAGGTTTCTTTTAATACCAACCAGTAATACAGTGAAGGTGTTTTCCCTACTGTTCTGCAGATGTCATAGTACCCCATAAACTGTTTATGCTTTAGTTTCTGTGGAAACTGAAGGCAACTATCCAGAAGTGTCTTTTCTTCAGTATAAGTGACTCTGTTTTCCCCTCTCTATCCTCAGGTGCCTATCCAAGACTCTCACTGAGCTTCAGGTTGAAGAGGAATATTGGATACTTTATTCTCCAAACCTACATGCCCTCCATACTGATTACCATTTTATCATGGGTGTCATTCTGGATCAATTATGATGCATCAGCAGCAAGAGTTGCCCTTGGTATGTGCTAAGAATGAGTGGGACATTAAAATGTCAGACTGAATGTAGCCTTCAGAGGTTGTTAAAGACTGCAACGTGATGTCAGTGCTTTGATATTCCAAAATAATTTACATCAAAATCATGTCATCCAGTATTGCCTCAAAAGTGATGTTTTCCCCTGCATGCAAGACTATCTACCACTAAATCTCTGACATAAGCTGCTCATACAGGTCCCAGACTAGTTCTCATCAAAGTTAATGTTGTTGTCAGTAGCTTTCATCTAGGAGAGCAGCTCCACAGTCATTCTTGAGTGTGGGATTTTAGTCCAACTCAGTGTGGGAAGACAAATGTGGCTCCAAGCCTCCTCCTGACGTCGTGAGTGCTTTAACTGACACTGGCAGGAACAGACTTCAAGAACCATTGCTAATTCAGTGCACAGGGCACGTCAGCTATGGCCCATAACATTCCACCTAACCCTCATCATACATTGTATGTTAAGTGCATGTTTATGACAGCTCCAAGTGCCATTTGCCTTATGACAAAGCGACATGGATTTGGTACAGGTTGGTGATCCCTGTCCAATACTTTTTCAGATCAAAGTATCCTTTAAATAAGGGAAGGTGGCTAGAAATCTGTGCAACTGACATGCTCGAGGGAAGGGATGCCATCCAGAGGGACCTGGTCAGGCTTGAGAAGTGGACACACATGAACCACAAGGAGTTCAGCAAGGCCAAGTACAAGGCCCTGCACCTGGGTCAGGGCAATCCAAAGCACAGCTACAGACTGGGTGGAGAATGGACTGAGAGCAATCCTGAGGAGCACTTTGTGGTGTTGGTTGCTGAGAAGCTCAACATGACCTGGTAATGTGCACTTGCAGCCCAGAAAGCCAACTGTGTCCTGGGCTGCATCAAAAGCAGTGTGGCCAGCAGGCTGAGGGAGGTGATTCTCTCCCTCTGCTCTGCTCTCCTGAGACCCCACCTGGACTACTGGGTCCAGGTTTGGGGTCCCCAACATAAGAAGGTCATGAACCAGTTGAAGGGAGTCCAAAGGAGGGACACAAAGATGATCAGGGGGCTGGAGCACCTTTCCTGTCAAGGAATTGCCAAGAGAGTTGAGCTTGTTCAGAATGAAGAAGATAAGGCTCTGGGGGGACCTTAAAGCACCATCCAGTACCTATAGAGGACCTACAAGAGAGCTGGAGAGTGACTGTACAAAGTCATGTAGTGATAGGACAAGGGGAAATGGCTTTAAATTCAAAGAGGGTAGGCTTAGGTTAGATATTAGGAAGAAATTCTTTACTGTGAGGGTGCTGAGGTACTGGAACAGGTTGCCCAGAGAAGGTCTGGATGCCTGACCCCTGGAAGTGTGAAGGCCAGGTTGGATGGGACTTCGAGCAACCTGGTCTAGTGGAAGGTGTCCCTGCCCATCACAGTGGAGTTGGAAGTAGGTGATATTTAAGGTCCCTTCCAAGCCAAACCATTCCATGATTCTATGACAGTATCTCACAGCAAATATTTCATCTTTTCCAGAAGCATACTTAGGCATAACTGTAGCTAAGGAAGATTAAATGGATCTATAAGTCCTTATGAATACTGCTGCCTCTCATCTCATCCCAAATTCTGTCTTCAATCCTGTGTTCCCAATAGTTCATATCTTCCTTCCCAAAACTTGTCACTAGGTCTGTACTAACTTCCTGCTGTACTCTCTTCTTAAAGCAAGAACATATTCCTTAGTTCCCTTATTTTCCTGTAATGTACCAGAACATATTCCTTAGTTCCCTTATTTTCCTGTCCTGTAATGCAGCACCCCCAGACTCCAACCCATGTCCATATGGTTCCCCATTTCTGTACCCTGTCCCTGGCAGGTCCCACATAGCAAAGCAGGCAGGGTAGCCATAGATACACCTTTGTGCTGTATAATATTACATCCTTGCATCTGAACTTGAGTACCTAAAGTTATTGTGGATTAACTGCAGTTACTGCACAGTAATTCTGCAGATTCAGCACCCCCAGACTCCAACCCATGTCCATATGGTTCCCCATTTCTGTACCCTGTCCCTGGCAGGTCCCACATAGCAAAGCAGGCAGGGTAGCCATAGATACACCTTTGTGCTGTATAATATTACATCCTTGCATCTGAACTTGAGTACCTAAAGTTATTGTGGATTAACTGCAGTTACTGCACAGTAATTCTGCAGATTCTGGGGATCACCTGATGCATATGGGCATGGCACAATCTGGCACTACCACTCAGCAGCTGGTGTATGTTTAGCAGGTTGCAGTAGCTTTATAGCAAATGGGGCATAGAGTCCAAACATCTCGGATGTATTCGTAAATTATCGACTGGCTCCCAAAGATCCACCCTGAAGACACTATGACCAAGTGAGGGGAGCACTTCAAGTGCATCAGTCAGCATCTAGATTTTACATACTGGCCAGGTCTGAAGAGAACAGCTGGTTAGACAGAAGTTACCAAACCCAGTGACATTCCATGCCCTTCTACAGTAGGTTCATGAGATTTTCCCTTGTTTAAGGAACAGGACTGTCTCATGTGGCCTATTTCTGTGTAGCACAAGTTCCTCAAGTACTGTAATACAAATATTAGAACAAAAGTCAGGCAGGCTCAGGAGACCAGATGTTCTATTTCTGATTGATAGAAAGTCCTTTTGAGAGGACGAAGTTCCATCTAATATTTTCTTCTGAGAACATAATTAATGCCTTGGTGATTATGTCTGTGATGTTTGTATAATAAAGTACCATGGGTCTAATCCTGTGCTCCTTTCTGTAGCTCCTCTTGTGAGTCTGAAGCTGATATGAAGTGGTAGCAAAGTTTAAAGGCAATATAGCACCTTTGGACATGGGTAACTAGCTCTGAAAAGCACAGTACAGAGAAGGTATCCCTCTGGTCTGGGTGTTTGTTAGAGGAAGCATTCTCTGTGCAATTCTTAGGGACACAGTGACAAGCTTTTACTCAGCCCCTGCAGGAAGGTTCTATTCTCTGCAAGAGCCTGATTCTAGTTCATTCACTGCATGTTTTGCTCTGTCCCTGGTCCCTTGCTGCACTGAACCAAAAGTTGTCTCTAGAGTGATGCCAAGGCATGGAGCAAAGGCCAACTCTTTCCAGGGACTGTGTGCTCTGGACTGCAGATAGAGGCTGCTACGAGGGCTGATCTTGAGAAATATTCACACCTATCAATTCTGTTAGTTAGCCCTAGAATTTCCTAAATTCAGTCCTTTGATCGAGGAGAAGAATAATCTCTCAAGTTCTGGCTTTTGGGAAGGGCTGTAATCAGAAGATTATCTTATTTTTTTTATCATAGGGGAGTGTCAGCTGCATCTCCTCCAGCTGTGCTTTAAAATAAATTATTGATCTTCAGAAGGACTTTTGCCTGCAGGATGTCAGGATCTCCCGGGGAATGTATTTCCCTTTGGTTAGTGATAGCCACCTTTCTATTCAGCATGCTTAATCTTCTGGGTCACCAAACATCTGACATCAACACACTTTTGTTTCACAGTTTAGAGGAAAAGCACTGAAAACCACATGACGCTGACCTACTAAATATACAAAATATCTGTTACAGAATCTCACAGGGTACTACTGCAGCTCCCTGGAGTGACACTGTTTACAACAACAGCTTGATTTTGAGTTGCGTTGTCTTTATTTCTGTCTCTTCAGGTAAAAGAAGCTGTGCTTTATTATATGGCAGCAATTTGCTTTTGTCCTTTGTTTTTGTTCTGCCTGCATTTTAGTGACTGCTTAAAAACTGATGGTATAATTATGGAATCAGAGAAAATAATAATGGAGGGTACCCATTAGAATGCCTTGCCTTCAAATGTAGACTTATTCCACAAATCAGTGTTTTCAGCCACCTGTGATTTGCAATTCCTATAAAATTTCCAGCAGAGATACAGATCCTGCAGTTTATTGTGAATTCAAGCAGAATGACAATAAATTATTTTCCTTCCAGATTTTCAAAACAGTGCTCTGTAATATATTTTCAGGTGCTATGTCCATCCACAGGTAAATAAATGAGGGCTTGACATACCTTATAGATTTGCCTAGATATTTTTTACTGTCCAGTTGGCCACTTTAAAAATGCTGCTCTGCCTCCTTTTTCTTTGCACAAATACACATACCTGTCTGCTTCTCATTGCTCACCTCACTTCTTTCTATGTAACTAGCCTACTGCTCTAGTCACCTCAAATTCTGTTTATACATTGTCCTTTTCTGAAATAAGTGTCTAAAATAGATGGGATGAACTGCTCTAGAAAGGTACCTGTCTCTCTCCATCTACTACAGGGGCCCTACAGGATTAGCATCAACCAACTGCTCAACTCCTAGAAATTTAAAACTGCATGTGAGGGAAGTCCTTCACCATCTATATGAACACTCTTCCTGTTGCAGATCAGTTTGCTCTTCATAGAACAGATCTTCAGAAAGCTAAACTGGCTTCCATGAAGTTACATCAAGTCAAAGCAGTGGTGCCAGACCCCCCTGTTAGCTGTTCCTCCTGAGCATATGAAGGAATTAATTGTAACAGAATAATAATGCATCGAGCTTTCGTTTTCCTTTCATTTGCAGTGATGTCACCTGCAAGGTATCTTCCACAAATTTTTAAGCTTCTTCACACTGACAAGGCAAATTTGTCAAGAAGGTAAATAAAGTTGAAGCATGGTATGCTTGGAGTTGTAAGATATGTGCTCTTTTTTTCCTTTGTGTAGGGATTACAACTGTGCTGACTATGACAACAATCAACACTCACCTGCGAGAGACTTTGCCTAAAATTCCATATGTTAAAGCCATTGATATGTATCTCATGGGCTGCTTCGTGTTTGTCTTCTTGGCCTTACTTGAATACGCCTTTGTCAACTACATTTTCTTTGGAAAAGGCCCTCAAAGGCAGAAGAAACTTGCAGAAAAAACAACAAAGGCAAACAACGATCGCTCAAGGTTTGAAGGCAACAGGGTAGGTTTCTTTAATCTATATATATTCTCTCTATTCTTTTATTACCAAGACTATCTGTATGAAATAAATCAAAAAAGCCTACATAAAAATGTCACCAACCACATCATCTTTTTGTGGACAAATTTTGGCATTTTTATTTTCAAGAACCAACATAGAGGAATATATTTAGTCATGCAGTCATAGAAGTGACTATGATCTGTATGACAAGTAGCTGTGAGAAGAAGACAATGTGAGTGAGGCTGGCTTGAAAATAAAGGCTTAGATCCACAAAGGCCTTTATTTGTCTAAATCAAATATAATTTAACTATGATTTTAAGTACCATTCCCTACGTAAGGGACTCCAGGATCTGAACACATTTTTCATCCCTTCAGTTAGAGCAGATGCTTTTACCATGGGAGAGAACAGATAAAGGAATAGTTCTGCCATGCTAATTAATTGGCCAGCACAGTTGAACACTGTGTGTGGCATTGTCATCTGCTGCTGCTTAAGGCCAGCAGAAAAGTATGATTCCTAGAGAAACTTTCAGGCTGATTTCTGAAGGATGGTGTTGGCAAGGTCTGTGCTCATTGTGCTCCAGCCTGTTTCCTTGCCTGGAGTATTACTTCATCCAGTGAATACCCTTTTTTTGTTATCTTTGGAAGAAAAATTCAAGGTATTCAACAGTATATGATGTTAACAAGCCATGTCAGTTTGAATAGAACATTTTTTTTTTACTAAAATGCTCCCAGTGAGGCTCTTTCATTCAGTTCTGTCGAGTAAAACTGTTTTCTCTGTTAGCTATGAATTAGAAGAGTTCACAGTGACAAAGCTACTACCTGTTTATTAAATACCACTGTAATAAAAGTAATTTCAAGCTATATTTTTTGATCCTAATGACTCTGTCTGCCATAGCAAATGTGATGCAGAACTACACCTAATTATCAAGACTCATATCTGTGAAATAATTCTGAACCAATAAACACATTTTTGCCCACTGTGTTATGAAACCAAATCCTCATCACAGTTGTCAGCACTGCTTAGAACTAAGATATCAGAAAGATTAACTCCCTTTCCTGGAAAAATAAATAGTCATAATAATAAAAACTACAGATGGGGAAATAAAAGAGTATCAGAATTGAAAGCAATGGAGAAGATTTTAGCTGCAAGCAGGTAATGCAGATGTGAGCACTAAGGTTCAGTTCTCCTGGTGGAAACCATCTGGTGAATCTCATCCATTTAAATGATTTACACAACTCAGTACAAGTCTTGTCAATGGGCACAATACCACCCCATGTCTGATGGTTTGAGCTTGAGATCAATTCATCTATTTTGTCATAATAATCATTAGTACTTTAACCAAAGAAAATATAGATTTTGATACCAAATTCATGCCACATTGGTATCCCAGGTCTGATCATACCATATATCAACCTTTTTTTTTCTTGCTTTTGACTTACACCCTTTTGTTTCCAGAGCATCCTAAGCAAATACCATGCACTGTTCTGACTTTTCTGCTGGTTTAATATCAACCATTCATGAATGAAAAAATTCTTTACAGAAAGGGTTGTCAAACATTGGAACAGGCTGCCCAGGAAAGTGGTTGAGTCACCATCCCTGGAGATATTTAAAAGACATGTAGATGTGGCACTTAGACACATGGTTGTAGTGAGGTGGGTGTTGGTCTCTTGTCCCATGGAGCAAATGACAGGACAAGAAGAAGTTGCCTCAAGTTGCACCAGGAAAGGATTAGAATGGTTATTAGGAAACATTTCTTCACAGAAAAGGTAGTCAGGCTGCCTAGGGAAGTGGTGGAACCACCATCCTTGAAAGCATTCAAAAGGCACGTGGATGTGGCACTTGGGGACATGGTTGAGTGGTGAACACGGTGCTGGGTTAGCAGTGGGACTTGATGGCCATAGAGGTCTTTTCCAACCTAAGTAATTCTATGATTCTATGAAATAAGGATAAAAATTCAGCAGACCAGAGTTAAAAGCATGTGTTACTTTTCCCCTTGGACTCCCAGCAGTGAAAGGGAACTCTGTATGCTTTGTAGGATCATATACACTCATAGTGACTGTAAATAAATGGCACAGGATAAATAGTGAGGCATGATCCCATTCTGTGTAGAAAACATTTTGTCCCCAAGCCTCAGCTGGTGAAGTCAACAGAGTTGGTTGCAGTTCCTGGATACAGAACCTCCAGAGAAGCAGTGCCAACATGCAACAGGAACAGCCAGAAACATTAGGCAGAGCTGGTTGGAAATATTCCTTTCAAACAAAGCATAGACAGAAAATGCAGGTTCAGTGGATGCAGGATGTCAGATTTGAGTGTCTCATTTGAGAAACACTGGCAAATGCAAAGGAGCAGGAATTGGTCAGAACAAGTAAGACGTCCCATTAATTTCAGGGTGAGCATCTCAGGGAAAATACATCTAGCAGATCTGCTTTGGACAGAGTTTACCAGGGCTTTGAGACACCACTGCCCTGAAACAGGAACATGAAAATGGTTTCCATGCTCCTGGGTCATGCCCACCATGTACCATGCTGTAGAGATAACCATGCATGGGGCAGAACAGCTGGTTGTGCTAGAGGTTTTGACATATTTCCTATGGAAGACAGTAGCTGAAAGCTTTGCAGCCTTGGTTCTGACCTCTTCAGGGACAGTAAAGAGGGATTAACTTCTAATCTCTCTGTTGGTGGCTCTTGAAGGTCATTGAATCTGATGGAAATAACAGTTGCTGAGTTCTTGCTTTGGACTTGGTACTCGAGTGCTGGGTGTACTGAGCATACTGCACAGTAAGGGAGGCTCACAAAGATGAACACTGCTTTGCACAGGTTCAATGAAATTAAGTGCTGAGGAGGCTCACAAAGATGAGCACTGCTTTGCACAGGTTCAATGAAATTATTGATTTTGTGGTTTTGGTGAGGCCTCAGGCTTCGTGAAGTGTAATTCCATTCAGAAAGGGAAGTTTTCTAATCGTGGGAAATACTTCAGATCTCATGTGATTTGGGGCTGAGCACTTTTAAGGAAAGGGATAAGGCACTTTGCAACTATCACCACTTTCTCATGAGTGTCAGAATATATGCTGTGCTGGAAAGGAGTTTGCAAAGGGTTCAAATGCAAAACTGGAAGAAGGCATTTTTATTAGTTTGTTTCTGACTACTGTTTTGGGTTGATTTGTGTCGCTGTTTTGTTTTAGAAATCGAATTTCCTTGTCTGTGAACTGTGTGCATGAGCTCCCTGTCACTGATTTAGGGTGCTAGCTTAGGGCACTAGAAGAACAAAGCAAAACATAAGCCAAACTGAACCAAATAAATAAATAAACATTAGTCCATTTATTGTCCACATCACTGTGTGTGTAGTGACAGAACAGCTCTGTGCTGTGTCAGGCCCAGCCTGGGCCAGGAGAGGCTGTGGTGCTGTGGGAATCACTTGTTTGTGTTGGAGGCAGCACAAGAAGAGCAGAGGCAACTCAAAATATTGCCTGGAGCTCAGGCCCTGAGCTAGGATACCTGCCTGGGAGTGCTGCTGAAGCAGTGTCTCTCTCAGGTAAGAAGAATGGAAGAAAGCTGAGAGGAAATGGCATGTTATTTTCACTCAGAAGTGGTTTAGCCTGTGGAAATCAGTAGATACAGCATGGAGACTAGTATTGTAGTTCATTTTTTTGTGTCAGAGGACTGAAGTCTGGAGTGCAAGCTTGGTTAGAAACACTCCTCTTACAGTAGCAAAAGGCCTTTTCATGCCCTCCTAGTCTTATCTGACTGTAGAGCAGGAGAGTTTTAATACCCAAAATGTTCTAGGCCACAAAATCCACAGATGTGGGTATGTTTGTGTTTTATTTGATAATTGCTTTGCAGAGCAGCCACTCTTCATGCTCAGGAACTCTTCTTTCTAACCTCTGCATTTGCACTGTCCTGCACCAGAGGTTGTGGCTTTGAAAAGCCAAAACTGGTACAGCCATCTCCAAGTTGCTGCTGCTATAGCCATGGCTCTCCAGTGCCAGGGTTTTGGGTGCTTCTGTCTGAGTTATTCCTGATACACTGACACTCAGGCTGGCTGTGCTGAGGAGAGCTCCACCAGCTGCTGCCACTGAGCACTGTCTGTACCTCTTGGCTTCACTGCTCCTGTTATGGCTTGAAGTCCAGCTCTCTCTGGGTATTGATGCCAAAGGGCCCAGTGGCTCTAGATGCAAGGCCAAGCAGTGCCCTTGCAGCATGGAAATGGCACAGCCTGTATCCTCGTCTTGCAGAGGTGACAAAGAAAAGCAGTGGGGAGAGGGAAACTCTGCCTTGTGCTCTCTTGTAGCACTGCCAAAGGTGGTGTGATGGCTGAGGCACGTCTGGCTAAACAATCTCTGCAAAAGGTTTCAGAAGACTCAGAGCTGGTGATGAGATGAAACCTGAGTGAGCCTTTACAAATGACTCATCTGTGGATCAGCCGCTGACTAAAAAGAAAATTTCACACTTAGCCGTCTCTTCTTTCGACTGCTTTTGCACCACATCTTATTTCAGATAATGCACTGTAAATAGTATTCCTCACCAAACTGTTCCAGCCATAAGCCATAGTTCCTGAGACAAACAGAGAATGCTGCTTTTTTTGGGGTGTACAACCAATGGTCATACGTGTGCTGGTTTTGGATTGAAAACTCTGTTTTTAAAACCTTCACATGAGGGCAAGCTCTAGGGTAAAGGAAGAATTTTGATTGTTATAAAATATTTCTTCTGGCTGTGGTATCTATGCCTAAATTAAAGTCCTCTGACCGTGGGGAAACTCAGAAAAAAAATAGGTGGCCTGTAAAAATGTTTTCCTTCGAAAATTAATCACCATCATTACAAATCCATTCTGTTTCTCCTGCTTGCAGCTGCAGATCCATGCTTCATTTGTAGCTCCCAAAACTTTCAATTTTGCTGCATGAAATGTTTCTTTTAAGTAAGACTCAGACACAGCCTAATTTGCAACTCAATCAGCAAGAGAGAGCTCTAAGGCAATCCCCTTCTCACTTGCTGCTCACTCCTGTGGC